TGCCTTGGTACCGCTCTGCGCCCCTTGGGCCGCTTGCCTCCTGGCGAGCCGCTTCCATGAAGCCATGGCGCTTGCCCAGGATCGCCCATCAGGCGGAGGCCTGTCCATGCTCCTGGCAGCCGCTTTGCCAAAGGTTCCTCTACCTTCAGGCTCTCTCCTCAGACCCTCAGGAGCTTGGCTCCCACGGCCCAGCCCTTCTGTGGCTCCCTGCAGCCCCGCTCTACTCAGCTCTCCTGCTGCCCACCTGTCAGGAAGCTGCCAGGAGCCTTGCTGCGGGCAGTGTGGTTCTGGGGCAGGGGCTGGGGTGTGGGGAGCAGTTGCATTAAAGTTTAGTAAACCCCAGGCCCTCAGCCCCTCCTTGAGGCCAAGGCGGGAGCAGGAGTCCTGGCCTGGGTCCAAACACTGCAGCTGCGGAGGGCCCCGCCTGCCCTGGGCCTCACACAGGGGTCCCGGCTGGGGGTGTGGTTTAGGCGGCTTGGTCGCACCTCCAAACCCCCCCCACACACCCCCCCGCCGCCCAGGGCAGCTGCTCAGGGCCCCACACAGGGGACCTGGCTGGGGGCATGGTTTAGGCGGCTGTTCGAGCCGCCAAGCCCCTGCCACTCAGGGCCGCACACTGGGGTCCCGGCTGGTGTTGGGGCTTAGGCGCCACACAGGCTGGACAGCCGCCCAAGCTGGCCCTCCCTGCCTGCAGTATGCAAATTAGCCGCCATCTTGGTTGGCAGTTAATTTGCATGTCTCGCTGATTAGCCAATGGGAAGGGTAGCGGATGTACACTAATTACCATGTTTCTCTTTTATTAGATAGGATGTGTGTGTGTATTTTTAAAAAAAATTTTTTAAATTAATTTCAGAGAGGAAAAGAGAGGGAGGGAGGGAGGGAGGGAGGGGGCGGGGAGGGAGAAACATCAGTGATGAGAGAGTATCATTCATTGGCTGCCTTCTGCACACCCCACACTGGGGATCAAGCCACAACCCAGGCCTGTCCCCTGACCAGGAACTGAACAGTGACCTGATTCATAGGTCGATGCGCAACCACTGAACCATGCCAGCCAGGCTGCAATCTTTTAAAAAAAAAAAAATTTTCCCCCAACATGTTTTCAAACAAGAATTTATAATGAAATGTAAAAGTCCTAACTTAAATGTAATGATATAAGCTTCTAAAGTGTCTATAAACAAAGATCGTGCCAGTATAAAATTTAGAAAGTGATAGTTAACTAAAAATTTTTATGTTTGCACATAATCCTATCCTATATAATAAAAGAGAAACATGCAAATTAACCACCCCTCTGTTACACTCACCAGCCAATCAGAGTGGGTATGCAAATTAAGCTGACAAAGATGGCGGGTTAATTTGCATACACAGGCACCGGGCAGCCGGGGCAGGGAGGTACTAGAGGCCCGGTGCATGGATTCGTGCACCAGTGGGGTCCTTAGGCCTGGCCTGCAGAGATCAGGCTGAAACCAGCTCTCTGACATCCCCCAAGGGGTCACGGATTGTGAGAGAGCGCAGGCCAGGCCGAGGGACCCTACTTGTGCATGAACTCGTGCTCCAGGCCTATAAAAGAACAGTTAAATATTCATTATCTCTACCATCTACTTAATTCCTGATGCTTTAAAGAACCTCAGTAAATGCCCTGACCAGTTTGGCTCAGTGAATAGAGTGTCCGCCTGCAAACTAAAATGTCCCAGGTTTGATTCCAGTCAAGGGCATGTACCTCGGTTGCGGGCACATCCCCAGTAGGGGGTGTGCATGAGGCAGCTGATCAATGTTTCTAACTCTCCCTCTCCCTTCCTCCCTGTAAAAAAATCAATAAAATATATTTAATAAAAAAAATTTTAAAAAAGAACCTCAGTAAATGGTTGGTGTGCAGATGTAAATATTTTATTTTTTATTTATTTACTAGTGACCCATCACGTGAGACCCGGGGACATACATACACACACACACACACCCGCACGCCATGGGACCGCCCCGAGTCCTGGCGTGCCGCCTCCAGGCTGCACCCCCGCGGTGCACATGTGGGGCCACGGAAACCCAACAGAAGTTGTGCGAAGCAGCCCACAGGGCCACAGGAACCCCGGTGGAAGCTGTGCGAGGCAGCCGCCGGCCCCACCCTCGCTGTGTGCATCACCATCTTGTGCTGGCGTTATGGCATGGGGGTCAATTTGCTTATTCCCTCTTTATTATATAGGATTATTTTTTAATCCTTACCGAAGAATATTTTATTCCATTGATCTTTAGAGAGAGAGAGTAGAAGGGGGAAATGAAAGAGAGAGAGAGAGAGACATCAACTAGTAGCCTACTATATGTACTCTGACTGGGGCCATGGATCAAACTTGCAACCCAAGTACCTGCCCTTCCGTTCATGGGCTGACACTCTAACCACTGAGAAAACTGGCCAGGGCTGTAGTTTAACTATTTTAAGAATAAACTTTATTCTGAGGAAAGCTAGCATTTCTTCCTAAAAGAAAGGGAAAACTTTTATTACTGTGATTGCACTAGCTGCCTTAACAAAATATGTCTTAACCTAATCAGTGATTTTCTTTTTCTTTAGGATTATATGCGTCAGGCAGGAGAAGTGACATATGCAGATGCTCACAAGGGACGCAAAAATGAAGGGGTGATTGAATTTGTTTCTTACTCCGATATGAAAAGAGCTTTGGAAAAGTTAGATGGAACTGAAGTCAATGGCAGAAAAATCAGATTAGTCGAAGACAAGCCTGGTTCTAGACGGCGCCGGTCCTACTCCAGGAGCCGGAGTCACTCCAGGTACTGTTGATGTCATTTATGTGTTGGAAATCACTATAAATTCATTAATGAGAATATAAATATTTTCTTTCTCCTGTTGAATTCTCAGGAATATAGTTCTTCAATAACTCAGAACTTTGAACTACATATTTATTTGTAAAGCTCTTGAACTCAAATAGAAGCAAAGTCCTTTCTCTGAGGCAGGAATCAGTGACCTTCTTTCTCATTTCTTCTTGGGTCCCCCATATCATACCTTCACTGAGGGCAAACATGGCCACTAACTGGTCCCTTGATTACTCTCCCAGATACTCTAGCTCAGGGGTGGGCAAACTTTTTTTTTTTTAATTATTGATTTTTTACAGAGAGGAAGGGAGAGAGAGAATTAGAAACATCGATGAGAGAGAGACATCGATCAACTGCCTCCTACACATCTCCTACTGGGGATGTGCCCGCAACCCAGGTACATACCCTTGACCGGAATCAAACCTGGGTCCTTTCCACAGGCCAACGCTCTATCCACTGAGCCAAACCAGTTTCGGCAATGGGCAAACTTTTTTGACTCGAGGGCCACAATGGGTTCTTAAACTGGACCGGAGGGCCAGAACAAAAGCATGGATGGAGTGTTTGTGTGAACTAATATAAATTCAGAGTAAACATCATTACATAAAAGGGTACGGTCTTTCTTTCTTTTTCTTTTTTTTTTTTTTTTTTTATTTTTACTCATTTCAAACGGGCCGTAGTTTGCCCTCGGCTGCTCTAGCTACTCAAGTGTGGAGACTTTGTCTTTTTGTCTTATTCAGCAGCTGCTCTGCACATGGGCCAGGCACTTGTGAACAAGGCAAATATAGTCCATGCCCTCATGAATTCAATCTAGTGGAAAAAACAGGCATTGAGCATTGTGCCAAATGTGCCCAAGGAAATGTACAGCACAACCAGTCTGGAGAACAGGCAAAGGCTTCTCTAACAACCCACCATAGAAACTGAGCTCTAAAAGATAAATTGGAGATGATGGGCAGAGACTAGGTCCACACATTGCAATCATGTCTCTTAATTCTCCTTTTTTTCCTTTAAATATAGTTTTATTGATTTCAGAGAGGAGAGAGAGCTTGAAACATTAGGATGAGAATCATTGATCAGCTGCCTCCTGCACGCCCCCTGCTGGGGATCAAGTCTGCAACTTTGGCACGTGCCCTTGACCAGAATTGAACCCAGGAGCCTTCAGGCCGACACTTTATCCATTGAGCCAAACCGTCTAGGGCTCTTAATTCTCCTTTTAATCACTGATATGTCCTCCTTTACCTTTTTTATTTTCCATGCATTTAGTTGTTAAAGAAATGATCTATTTTGAAGATTTTCCGATAGTTGAGATTTTGCTAATTGTGTCCTTGCGGTGTTAACACATTTTTTTATCTTATTCCCCATATTTCCTATAACTTGTTAGTTGTTGAGGCATTTAGAGTAAATTCAGGTGTCCTTCTCAAGTAGTTCTTTGTACTTCCTGTTGCCTCACTTATGTGGTGTTTACTTGTCCCACTTTGAACGATGATTCCATTATCAAGTTCTGCATCACCATTTCACATAATAATTTTAGCATCTATTGATAATTATTACCTAGAGCTATTTGTTGGTGGTTACAAAATGATGACTTTCTAATTTTTTCATTCTTTCTGTATTTAAAGGCTATCCTTCTATAAAGGATAATTTCCCTCATCCATACTTTTGTTACCCTCAAGTAGTTTTGATAGGAAATGCAAACTGAAAATTTGATACTTTTATTTACCAGCTTTCAGAATATTAAATGTGCCCTAGTAACCCTCAAAGGTGATAAGGGTGGTCATTTAGCATCATTTTGAATGAGTTCTTGGATGTTTATATATTTAATGTTTTGTCTATTGTGGCCATAATTTTTTATGCTCAGAATGTTATGTCTTTGGTCATTGAGAGCTTTTCAAGTTGGCTCCTGTTTCAGTATCTTTTTGTTTGGATTTTGTGTGAGTATGCTTTACTAAATATTTCTCAAAACTTTTGTTTTAAATATATTTTTATTGATTTCAGAGAAGAAGGGAGAAGGAAAGAGATAGACACAGCAATGATGAGAGAGAATCCATGATCAGTTGCCTCCTGCATGCACCACACTGTGGATCGAGCCCACAACCTGGGCATGTGACCTGACCAGGAATCAAACCTGGGACTTCCTGGTTCATAAGTGGATGCTCAATTGCTGAGCCACACTATCCAGGTCCCCAAAACTTTTTATGATCATTTTCAAACATAAAGTTGAAAGAATAGTTCACAAACACCATATACCTTCCAGCTTCAACCGTCATTACTATTTTTTCATCCTCATCCCAGGATATTTTTTCTCATTTATTTCTAGGGAGGTTCAGGGGGAGGGGAGGTACATCATATGAGAAAGACACATCAATAGGTTGCCTGCTGGGGCTGGTAAACCTGAAACGGGTGTGTGCCCTTGACCGGGAATCAAACTAGGGGCCTTCAGTCCTGGGGTGATGCTCTAACCACTGAGCAACCAACCAGGGCAACTTGTCTTTTTTGCTCTGTGTATGTGTATTTATATACACTCTATACATTTATTTTGTTGTAGTGTTTGAAAGGAAGTTGTAGAAATTATGACACTTGGCTCCTAAATATTTAAGCATGTGTCTCTAAGAAATAAGGATAACCACACATCTATTTTCTAATCTAAGAACGTTGGTAGTGACTCTCTAAAGTTCTCTAATGTCCAGACCATATTACAGTTTTCCCAGCTGTTCCATGGATGTCTTTATAGCTGCGTTTTTTCCTTACCAGGATCTAGTCTTATTGTCATGCATTGCAAGGGGTTGTTAGGTCTCTTTGGTCTGAAGCAGTTTTTCTACCTTCTTGTCCCTGTGACATTTACTTTTCCTGATTTCTAATACTATCCCACATTCTGAATTTATTTGCCTATTTCCTCTTGGTATCACTGAATTTGAACTTTATCCCCTGAAGTTCCTGTAATCTGGAAGTTAGATCTACAGATGAGTCAATGAGATGAGATACAGGTCAATTTTTGGCAAGAATCCTTTCATAGATGTTGGTGCCCAGCAATCTCTGAAAGTTTGCCTCTTTCTATCATGATGAGATGTTCTGAGCCCATTTTCTTATCCATATTCATATCCTGCCCTACACCTGGAATCTGTTGTTTCCCCCACTGAGCCTAAAAGGCAATGATAAGGAGAGTCCACGTGAAGGGAACAGATTAGATGGGTAAAGGCAAAAGTGTGCCAGGTGGCATGCCGGGAAGCTGCTGTGGGACCAGGGGAAGGGGGCAGAGGCAGATAGACTGGAGAAGAGGCTGAATTATCATGTAAGAGGATGAAGGAGTGAGAAGAGTCAAGGGTTGCTGTGGTTTCTAGCATGAGGACGTGGGTAAATAGCAGCAGCACCTGTGGAAATGAGTTGGAACCCAGCAGAGTGAGTTCAAGATTGGAGTTGCTCAGTTTCAGGTAAGCCATCCAGGTGAGGTATTTGTGAGCAACTTGATTTGTGGACCTAGAGCACAAGGAAGAGTTCTCTCTCAGCGTTGTGCCTGAACAGTCAGTGCCATACATAATTTTTTTATTGAAAAAATATCTTAGTTGACTGTCCTCTAGGCTTTTGTCAACAAGTATTATTAATACATTTTTTAATGTTTTCTCTCTATAGGTCTCGCTCTCGAAGCAGACATTCTCGTAAGAGCAGAAGCCGAAGTGGCAGCAGCAAAAGCAGTCATTCTAAGAGTAGATCTCGGTCTAGGTAGGTCTTCCTTGTATAAGTGGAGGGGTTGGACAGGAAACACCCGTACCATTTGCCACATTGATTACAGTCATGTTACCAGTCTTATCTCATGCCAGTTTCTCCAGATCTGGACTGGAATCCTGGGTGTTCAGCAATCATTGGCCACGCATTATATTGTGGGGCAAGGTTCCACGTCCCTTCGACTTTTCCATCTGATGATGAGCTTCAGGCATGGAGTTGTATGTGACTTTCACATCACTGTCTTCTCAGGTCTGGCTCCCATTCCCGGAGCAAGAGTCGTAGCCGCAGTCAGAGCCGCAGCCGGAGCAAGAAGGAAAAAAGCCGCAGCCCCAGCAAGGACGACAAGAGTCGCAGCCGGAGCCGCAGTGCAGACAAGCGCCGCAGCAAGAGTAAAGACCAAGTTGAAGAGAAGATTCAGAACAACGACAATACCAGGAAGTCCAAGAGCAGGAGTCCCAGTCGGCATAAAAGCAAAAGTAAAAGCCGAAGCAGGAGTCAAGAGCGGAGAGTGGAAGAGGAGAAGCGCAGGAGCAAGAGCAAGGAGAAGAGCCGGAGTCAGGAGAAAGGCCTCCGCAGGAGCAGGAGCAAGGGAGGCAGCCGGAGCCGCAGCAGGAGCCGCAGCAAAAGCAAGGATAAGAGGAAGGGGAGGAAGAGAAGCCGGGAGGAGAGCCGTAGTCGCAGCCGCAGTCGCAGCCGCAGCCGTAGCCGCAGCAAGAGCAAGAGGAGCCGAAAACATGGCAGCAAGCGAGACAGCAAGTCAAGCAGCAGCAGCGAGAAGAAAAAGAAGGAAGATGCCGACCGCTCCCAGTCCAGGTCACGGTCCCGCTCGGTGTCAAAGGAGCGGGAACGTGCCAAGTCCGAGTCTGGCCAGAGGGAAGGTGGAGGGGAGAGCAAGGATGCTAGCACCAACCAGGAGACCCGGTCCCGGTCCAGGTCCAACTCTAAATCCAAACCAAATCTCCCGTCAGAATCACGCTCCAGATCAAAGTCTGCTTCAAAAACCCGATCTCGGTCCAAGTCTAGATCCAGGTCTGCATCCAGATCACCTTCCCGGTCTAGATCTAGATCCCACTCAAGATCCTAACGGGCTACTACCACAGCTGGAACTACCCGAGAAGTTTTGTACATGTTTGGTAGCCGTAGCACAAGTGATTGAAGTAGAACATACGTCACTGCTGTACATTTTTAACTCCCCTAATGGTGTGTCTACAATTGTTAAATCTAAGTGCTTCCTCCGTAAAGCCTCCTGGCGCCAGGCCTTCCTGCTCGACTGAAAACAATCTTCTCTTTGAAAACCCCCTTTCCTCGTGGTCCACAGTAGAATATCCAAAATGCCTTGGCTTTCAGGCCTGGCATTTCTTACAGGGAGCTCAGTACCTGGACGAGTCTAAGGCTGGAATGATGACATAGGTAGGTATGGTGAGTTCAACCATTTTTGCCCTTGAATTGATGCCCTTTGATGTATGCCATTTAGTGAAAGTGCTAAGTCTTAAGTTTCCTACCACTTTGGTTTCATATTTTTGGACTTACAAAGTTGTGAATAGCACAGTCAAGGAAAATTGATATCTGCAGTAACCCATAGGAAACAAACTCTAGAGTTCCATATTCTGGTATTGTGATTATATTGTTTTATATTAAGAAAATAAAAGAAAATAATTTTTTTTAATTTTATTTTTCCCCGTCTTGCAAAGTATAGTGACCCCTGTTTCCATTAAATTTGAATAAAGACTATTTTTGCTTGACAAAAAGTTCATGGTGCTTAAATCAAAGTTGTATTTCCTGATCTCTCTTTATACCTCTTTTCTTAGCATAAAAAGTTCAGTGTATAATGGCTCTTTGGTTTCTTAGGATCATGGGTAGGGAGCCAACACTTTTTCCTAAAGGATTTTTCTCACCCAACAGCATAAAAGAATTTAGTTTCTCAGGGATTTATAGTCCTTCCTCTCTTAAGAGGCATATGACCAAGCTGATGAGAAGTGAATTGTTTTGGGAACTTGGAGCATCAGCAGATGAGTTCTGCATGAACATAACTTTCTTCTGTACTGTTGGAACGAATGGCCATGAATCTGAAGCGGCATCACCTTAGGATTTGGACGAAGAAACCAGGAAGAAAAACTGCTGGATGAGCTTCATCTCTCATTCTCTGCATTACTTCTCTGGCCCAGTTCTGTACGAGGTACCAGAGGTACAGTGAGTCCAATCTGGCCTGCATCCTTGAGGGTCTGTTGAGAAGCCAGAGGACCATCAGCACCAGCTGTAGGGGGAAGAGAGCCACTTTTTAGACTGTTGCCTGACAGTGCACAAGGGGCTAGATTTAAAGTTCTGTCCTGTTGTCTTAGATCATACCCTGTCGGACACACTCAGAAGGCAAATCCAAGAGTGTTTCTTGTCCTCTTGGAGTTTGTGATCTGGTTGCAAGTGATAAACATCACCAGGATAAAGTGAAAATTCAGAGAATGGAGTTTTAACCTCCTCTGATCAGTGATGTCTTTTAGACTGAACTTTTGGAAATGGGGGGGAGGAAACACTTCTGTGAGCAATACCATGTAATTAGAAAAGCATGGGACAGGGTGCCCAATGAACCTGGAGTTTGAGAATAGGGGTAAGAAAAGCCAAGTTTGACAAGATGGATTGGGTCACAGAGGGCTTAATATACTGGGGCGGGGAGTTGGCCATTGTCCTGTGAGTGTTGGGGGAAAATATTTGGGCAGGAGGATGTGGGCTGAGCTGTGCTGCAGGAAGATCTGAGAGATCAGTTGCAGGGAACCCAGCACTTTGGGGGATGCAGTGATTGCAGATTGTTTGGGACCTGAACAAAGGCAGTGACCACAGGGAACAGAAGAAAAGATCAGCCATTGACTTGCAGAAAGGAGGTGTCCAAGGTCATCCAAGATGGGGAAGCCTTTCTGAGGAATGGGAAAGATGGTGAGTGAGTTCAGTTTTGGAAACATGGAATTTCCCAGAATAAAGGTGAATTGTTTTGCCCAATGTAATAGTGATAAAGCTAAGATTAATTTCTATAACAGACTGTGCAGCCAAACCTAGGTACCTCAATCTCCCTACAGCTTTCCCTCCATTCTTGGTCATCATGACAAGGTAATGACTCCAACCAATACAATTCCCACTGCTTTGGATCTTGTGTGATCTCCCGTAGGTAACAAGGATTCCATATTCCCTGATTTTATCCCTGGAAGGTGGGGCCATTTCTTTGGGCATTTTTTTTCTTTCACAAGTTCAAACTATAGAGTCCCCTTAATTTCACTATTTCTGACATAGCAAAAATTTATTTTCCGAATTCTCTTCCAAGCTTTGTTCCTATTCATAGTTAACGTCATTTTTCATATAACTTAATAAATTGTCATTTAATGTCATAAGCATTGGGAAGTTCTCACTTAGATATTTACAGCTCATTAATTCTAACCAATGAATTTATTAGCACGTGATCCTTCAATACAACAATCTGAAAATTCCATGTATACATAGAAGAGATTTGCAGTCATTTTTCCCTAGCAATTTTTTAATTCCATTTATATTAGATTCTGAAAAGAAAGAGGTAAAAATGAAATTAAGATTGGGAAACGCTTGTGTTGGGTTCCAAATGTGCACCAGAGATTAGTATTTTGCATGTACGTTTTTCATCTTGTTCTCACACTGCCCTGGGATCAGTATTAGGCTCAACTGCAGCTGAAGAGGCTGTAGTACAGTGTCCACCCCCCACAGTGTTAATTTAATATGAATACTTCTATAGGCCAAGCTCTGTTCCACAACACGAATTAGCATATGTGTTTTAGTTATAATTCCAGTTTGGTCCTGGAGAGTGTCCAAGTAGCTTCCACTTAACCCTGCCGCCATTTTGGAATCTGGAAATAGCATATGAAAGAGACCCACAAGGCCCCTCTTCTCATGGAACTTCTAAGACATGTTGCTTGGCCCATGATGCCATCAGTACTGAGTGCCTCCTATAAGCCAGATAGTGGGCCAATCAGTGTTCACTGTCTTTGGCAAATCACTGCAAGGAATCGCCTGCCACCCCTTAGTAGGAGGTTTCTAAATGCAGCGCTTGTTCTAGCTGCATCATTGTCCCTTGACAATAAGTTGAGCCAGAGATGGCAGTAACATTTGAGGCTACAGTTAGGTAATGCTTGCCCCACCCACCCACAGTCCAATGGAACAAAGAGGAAGGTGAATGAGGAATGGCCTAAGTTTTTATTTACTTGCCTACCTGTATCTACTACATAAGCAAGGTGCTTTTATGTACATTATTGTTTTAAAAACAAACTCAGGTGAATATTTTGTCCAATGTAACAGCTAGTGACAAAGCTAAGATTATTTTCTAGATTTCTCTGGTTCTCCATTATAAAATTTCATCATTTATGATACAGTTATATATAGGAAGACATTTGCTTCAAGTTACATAGGATTTGAACTCCAGTTTAAGTCAGAGTTTCCTCAAGAATGAATCTGCTTTCCTTAAGCAAAAATTTAAGTGGCTGCAGGACAAAGCCACCAGCCCACTGCTGTGAATAAATTTTAGTTGCTCTGTCATTTGATGAAGGCTTGGGAGTGGCCATTTGTCCAAGCCCAGGTCATCATTCCACATCCTAGGTGCCAAGGGGCGAAGGGATGAAAGATGGTTTATTTTAGCTTCTACAGCGGGAAATTGCATTAATGCCCACAAAATACACTCATGGGGAATTTTCCAAAAAGGATCAGCCAAAGAAATACAAAGGTCCACCACCATTCGCTCTGGATGCTCAAAATCTATACCCTTCTTTCTATACTTAACCTTCCTCCCCTATCCCTACCAAAAAAGAGTGGGAGACTAAATAAGACCAAAGAGCAAGGATAATGATAGAAAACAGTAACAAATGTGGTAGATACTATCAGTAATCACTTCAAATGTCAGGTAGATAAAAGACTATCAGAGGGGATTTTTAAAAAATGACCCAGCTATATGTTGTCTAAAGAAACCCAACTTTAAATATAGAGACACTACCTGGCCGGCGTGGCTGTGACTGAGCATTGACCTATGAACCAGGAAGTCATGATTCGATTCCCAGTCAGGGCACATGTGGGGGTTGTAGACTCATCCCCAGTAGGGGGCATGCGGGAGGTAGTGGATCAATTCTCATTGATATTTCTATCCCCTTCCCTTTCTCTTTGAAATCAATAAAAATATACTTTTTAAAGAGAGGCATTAAAAAGGAGAGCCCTGGCCAATGGGCTCAATGGTTAGAGCGTTGGCCCACTCACTGAAGGGGCTCGGGTTCAATTGCCAGTTAAGAACAAATACTTGGGTTGCAGGTTTGATCCCCACCTTCAGTCAGGGTGAGTGTGGGAAGCAACCAATCAATGTGTGTCTGTACCTTCCCCCAACACCCCCTTCTAAAAACCAGTGGAACAAATGTCCTCCTTGGGTGAAAATTAAAGGGGGGTAGGGGGTTTCATGGAAACACTAATCAAAATAAAGCTGTATTAGCTATATTTCAGACAGCAGACCAGAGCAAGAAATAAAGAGGCATTACATGACAATAAAGGTAAATTTTTCTCATCGATGTTTCTAACTCTCTATCCCTCTCCCTTCCTCTCTGTAAAAAATCAATAAAGTATATTTTTAAAAAAAGAACAAAAATCATGGCAAGTATGCTCTCAGACCACAGCAGAATTAAACTAGAAATTAACAACAAAGATAGATGGGAAATCCCAAGATACTTGGAGATTAAATGATACCTTTCTAAATAACATGGGTCGAAGAAGTCTTGAGAAATATTTTGAGCAAAATGAAAATGCAGCTTATCAAAACTTGTGAGATGCAGCAAAAGCAGTTCTTAGAGGGAAGTTTCTAGTATTCAATACACCTAGTTGAAAAAGAAGAAAAATCAATAGTCTTAAACTTCTGCCTTAGGAAACTAGAAAAAAAAAAGAGCAAGTTAAGTCCAATGTAAGCAAAAGGAAAGAAAAATTAGAGCAGAAATCAATGAGATTGAAAACAGGAAGTTTATAGGGAAAAAATCAAAACCAAAGCTGATTCTTTAAGAAAATTTATAAACTTCTACTAACCAATAATAAAAAATAAAAGACACAAGCCGAAACCGGTTTGGCTCAGTGGATAGAGCGTCGGCCTGCGGACTGAGGGGTCCCGGGTTCAATTCCAGTCAAGGGCATGTGCCTTGGTTGCGGGCACATCCCCAGTGGGAGATGTGCAGGAGGCAGCTGATCGATGTTTCTCTCTCATCGATGTTTCTAGCTCTCTATCTCTCTCCCTTCTTCTCTGTAAAAAAATCTAAAATATATTTTAAAAAAATAAAATAAAACACAATTACTAATATCAATATGAGAAATGAAAGGGACCATAGTATTGAATCTGTGGACATTAAAAGGATAAAAAATATTGTGAACTTTATTCCCACAAATTTGATAATCTAGATGAAGCAGAATGATTCCTTGAAAAATAATCTTATCAAAAGTAATACAGAGAGATAATCTGAAGAGGCCTAAAACTACTTTTGAAAAGTTTATCAATAATAACTCTAAAACAAAGCACCAGGCCCACATGGTTCACTGGTGAATTCTACCAAATATTTAAGGAAGAAATACCAATTTTCAATCTCTTTTCAGAAAGTAGAAGCAGAGGAATACAAGATATTTCCTTTCTTTCACCAGAGGTCTTGTACATATTTTGTTAGATTTTTAAGGGTGTTAATGTAAATGGTATTATCTTTAATTCTGAATTCCA